TTCTCAGAGTCAGCCACAGTTTTTTATGATCCACACAGTCAAATGCCTTTGCATAATCAATGAAACACAGATCGACATTCTTCCGGTATTCCCTGCTTTCAGCTAAGATCCATCTAACATCAGCTACAAAACAAAAAACATGGTTCACAGGCTATAACACAGAAGACAACTAAGAATGCATCTAAAAGAGATATCCTGACCTTGAGCTGGCAGGGGAGCAGCTGTGGTGGAGGTGTGGTTGCAATAGGGAGAGGGAGAGGGAGAAATGCCTTGTAGTGAAGAAGGGAGGATGCACTATTTTCTTTGGGGGAACCACATGTTTCCCCCTCTTGAGCCTCAGTTGTAGCCTATGGATTATGAACCCAAATTGTACCCATTGTTTCCTTAATAACTTACCTCGCTGTAAGGGTGGTTTGTATAGCGTGGTCACTACAATGGATTATCAGATCCTGGAGAGAAGCAGAGCATGCTGTGGGAAGGATGGCTATAGTCGGAAGTATCTAAAGGTCAGAGACTAGAGCAATCTGTCTTCACCTCAAAGGAACCACATTTAGGCTGATCCTGGTGGTTATCCTTCTGAAGTCAGGCAGATTCAAATGCTATTCTGACCATTTTATAAAGTCCTGTTTGGATGTAATTAGTTAACAGGAGCTCCTGATAGAGTGGTTGTTATTATTGACTCATAGGAACCTGTGAACAACAGATCTGAATCCTGTCCTGTCCTGTGCCATCCTCACCATCTCTGACACACTTGAGCCCATTGCTGTAGACACAGTGTCAATCTACCTGGTTGAGGGTCTTCCTCTCTTTCACTGTCCCTTTATAAGGAATAGCCTCTCCTAACAACATGACCAAATTATGTGAGATGAAGTTTTGCCATGTTTGCTTCTAAGGAACACTCTGGTTTCCTAATCCAATCTGATTTGTATCCTTGTATGAGGAGAAAATTAGGGAGAAGGTGACCAACTATGTGAAGTCAAAGGCATGTTGGAGTCATGCTATCACAAAGCTGATAAATGCTTTAACTACCTGAAGCTAGAAGAGTGCATGAATAACTTCTTTTACAAAGATTTGTACAAGACTTTTAAATGTCCAGCATAAAAATGCTGTGCTACCCCTACTCTCTGACTTGCACTACTGCTCTTTCTCTCAGCCCTCTCACTCCTGTCTGTGGGTTCTATAATCTGCTGGACAGCACAAGACAGGAAGACCCTGGATGAGATGGATTGACATAGTAACTGGGGTAATGTGGGTAGTGTATCAGAGATAGTGAGAGCAGGGTTCAGAGCTATTTATAAACATATATATGATATCTATCTATATCATATATATATTATTTATATAACAAAGATGTTGTGGTTGTTGTTATGTGCCATCAAGTCATCTGCGACCCATAGCGACCCTATGTATAACAGCTCTGAAGCCTGCCCTGTTCTGAGCCAGACTTATTGATTCCGACACACCTTCCTCCATTGCCCCAGTTACTGTATCAATCCATCTTTTCCGGGGTCTTCTTCTCCTGCACTGTCCCTCCACCCTTCTGAGCATGATGTCCTTCTCCAAGGACTGGTCCTTCCTGGCCACATGCCCAAAGTATGTGAGATGGACCCTTATATACCTAGCTTCTAAGGAGATATTTGGTTTCAATCTCTCCAAAACGTATTTGATTTCTTAGAGGTCCCTGGATGTTCAAGACTCTCATCCAGCACCACAACTCAAAGGCATCATTCTTTTTCTGTCATCCTTAGTCATTGTCCAGCACTCTGATGCATAGCAAGTAATTGCAAAGACTATGGCCTGGAGGCAGGTGCACCTTAGTCTCTAGACTAACATCATTGCTTCTCAGTACTCTATAAAGATCCCTGAAAGCAAATTTACCTAATGCAATTAATATTGTGATTTCCTGACTGCTGGTGCCAAGAGTGTTGATTGTGTGTTGATCAAGGGGTGCATCGTGGGGAGGGCTGGGTTGAGGAGTAAAATGTGTGACAATGAAAAAAATATAAAAAGATGTAACTCATCCTAATCTTACCTCCTTAATTCAAAGGAATTACTCCAGTGAGGAAGGCTGGAATCATAAAATGGAAGGGCCATATTACTTGTTCCACTCCAGCTGTTTATATCTCTTTACTTATTGCTGTTTGCCATTTAATAGGGATCCATAGCTGACCCTCCAGTGGGTTATCTGAGTCTGTAAACCGCATGGGAGGAGACTGTCCATCTTTCTCCCTCCTCGTAGCTGGTGGATTTGAACAACCAGAGAGGCTCCACTTAGGCTTAGCAGCACAATTCCCTAAGGACTAGGCTGCCAGAGTTCTTGAAAGTCAAGCTGAAAGAAAAATGCAATCTCTAAGCCCCTGATCTAATCACTCCTTTTCTCAGAAGGTCTGCTGAGGCAAGGACCCTGTCGTTTAGGGTGGCTGGCGCTGCCTATCAACTAATTTGCATGCCCTGTTGTGGTCCAGTGGTCTCCCCTTGGTGTCACACAACTTGGAGCTGGTCCCGGCAGAACTTTGCCTGCCTGCCTCCTGCCTCATCCATGGCTTCCCGGTGCCTGGTTCTCTTCATTGGGGCCCTCCTGGCAGGTGAGCTCACCTGGGAGCAGGTAGGGGACAGCAGTAAGACTGGAACACCCTTGCCAAAAAAGCAAATGGATTAGAGTCTTATTCAGGGCCCAAAGATGGGGATACCTGGCTCCAGGAACTTTTCAAGTAAACTGGCAAATTAGGACCTCGGTTTCACCACTTGTGAATGACAAGTTGACTTTGGGGGTCTGCTCTTTTGAGATCTCAGTTCTCTGCTGGGGAAGCTGGCCTCTACTCTCAGAAGCAAGCAGATCCTGAGAATGTCCCCAGTTGCCTGAGGCCTACTTGAGGGGCAGTGTGGGTTGAGAAGCTCCCTGGGATGGTTAGTTTGTAGCCAGGGTTTGAAAGAGTCAAGTGATTGAAGGGGTGGGAGTCAACAGGGCAAGGGGGTAGGCACCAGGAAACCCACGGGTGCCCAGTTCCTCCATCCATGTTCTAGATCCCCAGACCAAGGTGTATCATTGAGATGCAGCACTATTGGGAACTCAAGAAAGGCCCAAGAAAGGAAGTGAGGTTCAGAGAAATAGCCATAAATTTAGCAGAACCAGGCCTCAGGCTTGTCCTGTGTGATTCAGCTATGGCACTTCTGCGAGAGGGATGTTGGGGTAGCCTGGAAAAGGCTCCTGCTGGGCCTAAGCCAATCCATCTCTCACAGCCTCACAGCCTGCCCCAGTCCAGCCAGATGCCCTGCTCATCTTCCCTGGCCAGATGGCCCAGCTCTCCTGCATCATCCTGAGCCCTCATCACGCTGCCAGCAGGGATTATGGTGTGTCCTGGTACCAGCAGCGGGCAGGGAGTGCCCCTCGTTACCTCCTCTACTACCGATCAGAGGACGACCAGGACCGGCCTGCTGACCTCCCTGCCCGCTTCTCAGCAGCCAGGGATGCGGCTAGCAATGCCTGCATCCTGACCATCGACCCTGTCCAGCCTGAGGATGATGCAGACTATTACTGCTCTGTGGGCTACTAGCTCTGAGGACTGGGGTGTATAGCAGTGTCCCTGGATGCCTCCCATTCGGCTCCAACATTGCTTTTCCTCTTCTGTAAATTGAGTTAATAATAGTCGATATGTCAACTACAGGTATAATGAGGAGTGTGAAGTCCCAGATGAGAAAGTGACTGTGGTCAGTCTGGTATTGTGCGTGTGTGTGAGAGCGAGCGACTGAGCGAGCGTGTAAGCAAGCCAACAAGGGGCTGGGGCGGGTGGATGTGGGGATTGTTGAAGAAGAGGAAACACCTGAGCTCTTCGGGGAGTGGTCCTGCGTCTCCCCGGCTCCCAGGAGGCTCAGGAGGGTGGCCTGGCTTTGTGGCTGTAAGGGGAGAAAGAGGAACCAGTCACTCCGCTCTGCAAGGCTGGTTGTGGGCCAACAGTTACCTTGGGGTTTCTGTCCAAATCAGGGTCAACTTTGTGGGGGCAGGGAAGTAGAGATGATTTGGGCTCGGGACCCGAGTGTCAGAATTGTTGGGGAGACACCAGAAGGCCGCAGCCCCAAAAGGCTCCCCGAAACTCACCCCAGGGGGCACTGTTCCAGGGTCAAAAGAGGGCAATGGGTGGAAGGAAAAATCTTGCTCCTAGAAGCAGGCCAGGGCTCTGCTAGTAGGGTGCCAAAACACATCCTTCTTCCCTCGCTGCTCCACTAAGAAATGCCTCTTGCCTGGATAATAGATTTCTGCCGCAGGTTTTTGGGCGTACAGGGTCGTGAAGGTACCCCACCTCCCGCGGGCCGGGCTGTATTGAAGGGGCCTGGATTTGATAGCCCTGGGCCCACGTGGATGACAGGTTTGAAGGCTCTGGGGACAAAAGACGTCCCGGAGTCTCTGCTAGCTCTGCTCCAGCTCGCTATTCTTGCCTGAGTTTCCCTTTTGCATTCTGGAGCTGCTGGGAAAACAGTTCAGGCTAAAAAGCCACCACGGGAGCCAGGTCCCTGCGCCCTACAAGTCTGCGCGCGCAGACGCTGGCAGCCGAGATCACAGAGCCCGACCTCGGCCCGGCCGACCATAGTTCCGGAAGTGCCCGCGGCGGGGCGGGGCCGGGCGTGCGCGTCATCGCGGCGCGGGAGAGTTGCGTCACAGCTGAGCCGGGAAGGCCGGTCCCCTGCGGGTTGGAGCGGCTCAGGTGTGGCCCCGCCCCGCCGCCCGCGCCTCCGCCTCTCCCAGGTGAGCACCCCGTCGTCCTGGGTGTGCGCTGGGCCTGAGATCTTTCCCCCTGATGTGACAGTCTGGTCCTGGTGGCCCCGTGCGGGCGTCCACGGCTCCAGGAGTTTGCAGGGACGTCGGTCCCTCGGGGGCACGTGAAAAATCTGCGTACCGCCGTGGGAAAGCTGGCCGAGGGTGCTCGAGCCTGAGGCTCCCAGGGGACGAAGTGACCAGTACTGGGGAGGGGAAGCCCAAGAGGGGAGAAGATTCAAGATTGCCAACTTTCTATCCATAACGGAAACTTCAGCATGATTGGAATGTAAAACCGCTCGGCGGGAACCTCGGAGACATTTGGCTTAACTGCTGGGTGGAGGAGGGTAGTTGCATTTGACAGATGCCGGGAGAGGGATCCTTGGACTGGATAATCTGTCCCATACCTAGTAGGGAGCCTTCTGGAGCCCTGCTGGGATGAGATAGATTTTTGAAAGGGGCCACCTAGGCCCTAACTCCCCAGTTTCCCGTTACAGTATGCGTCTGTGTTGTCACATCTTTCAGGTTTTCCAGGATAAACCCATAAACCGGCAGAGTTTTAAATATTGGCAACAAAACAAGCCCAGTTGTTCGAGAGCCAAACTAAACGTGTCTTTGGCCAGAGTCCCAGGCAATGAGTTTGCAACCTCTGAACTGGAGGGCTTTGAGAAGGACGTGGCAAGAGGAAGACTGAGGAGAGAAGCCTGGGTTTGTCAGTTGGGAGATGATGAGATGAGAGCTGAGGTCTCAACTAAAAGTGGAGACTCAGAATTTGAATTGTGCTAGAGAAGATTATTAAACATACCATTGACTACCAAGAGGACACAGGTCTGTCCTGGAGAGGGTGAAACCAGCTTGCTCTCTAGAAGCACAGGTTTTGACGCTCCAGCTCACATACTTTGGGCATGATGCCAGGAGAGACCAGTTCTTGGAGAAGGACATCATGTTTGTAAGGGCAGAAGAGGAAGGCCCTAGATGAGTTGGATTGACAGACACAGTGATGGGGGCAATAGGGGGAGATGTGTTGGAGACATATTGGCTCAGGATAGGACAGAGTTCAGAGTTATTGTGGATAGGGTCATTATGAGTCACAGGAGACTCAATGGCATATAGGGTCATGGTTGCCCATGGTAACATTAATGGCCCAATGAATTAAGTATTTTGCCATTGTTATGTGCTGTAGAGTCAGAACTAACTCCTAGCTGGTACTCCAATTACAGAGGCTAAAATTGCACAGGAAGAAATTGTCCATTTTTCTTCTGAAGAGCATCTGGTGGAGTCCCACTACCTGGTTTTGGGCTGACAGCACAACTCCTTACTCACCAGGCACCACCAGAACTCCCAAGAGGCAAGTGGTTTGAATCTACCAGCTGTTCTATGAGAGAAAGATGGGCACTCTTCTGTACAATTTACTGTCTCTGAAAACCTGCTGGAGGATCAGTATGAGTTGGTTCCCATTCCACAGTGAAGAGTGAGTTGTAGTCATAGTCTTCCACTTTGTGATTCTAGTCCCTTTGTGCTTAAGATCTCATTTGGGGACAAGTTAATTTTTGTATTAATAAGTAGGATCCTCATCTTAGAAGGCATTATCCAAGTTACCCTAGTACTTAGTCTCCTGGGGTTGTGGTTTATAGCCCTGAGATCCCATAGAGGAATAGAGCCTAGAAAGTGCCAACTCTGTTCATTCTGGACACTGCATCTATAACCCTGATACACAAACAATCTCAGCCTATATGTGCCTGACCCACAATTCATCAGCCTCTGTGACTACGTGTATTGGTTTCTAATTGAGCCATTTCCTTGATTGTTTTTGAGTTTCTGTGACACCTTCTAGCAAATTACAAGTCCAAAGACACAGATGGAAGTGAAGGGACTGAGGGGAGGAGGATAATTGATGTTGGAGATCAGAGAGTGGTGCAGCAGTTTGGACTTTTGGAACATTTTTAACCTCTGCCTTACAGGAATTCACACTTGTCTGTTGCTGTCAAGTCAGAATGATTTGTAGTGAGTTTCAGAGGCTGTAAATGACACATGAGGAAGTTGCCCATCTTTATTCCTCAGAGCAGCTAGTGGATGTGAACCCCTGCCTTTGAGTTGGCTTTTCAGTTCCTTACCAGAGCTCTTTAAACTTTTGCTAGTAATTGTAAAAGGAATTTTTTTTGCAGCGTTTTGAGAGGACAGATAGAAAAGGTTGGACAGTAGCAGCTGATTGTAGTAGGGCAAGGAGTGAGGAATCTGATGGAAGTCAGTTGACGTGCCCTCTACACCTACACCGAGATGGGCTTCAGCTTCACACATCCAGTGGGTACCCAGTATGTATCCACCTCAAGTGTGGCCACCACCCATCCATCATTGGAGGTTTATAGGCTGCTGTGAAGCTGACCAAGTTTCTGTGAACTTTCTAGACTAAGACCAGGACAAAAGTCCTGGTGATCTTCAGAAACCAGTGCATGAAGCCCTGTAGTCACAACAGCCCAATCTGTAGCTGATGGTGAAAATGCTGTAGGAGTAGGCCCTGCCTTTTCCCCTTGTGCATGAGATCAGAGGGAGCTGGGGATGACACGTGTGGGGCTAGGGAGGGGAGCCTGGGCGGAATTGGAAGGTTCTTGAAGTTGGTGAAGTTCAGAAGCTGTTTGAAGTAAGAGAGCTGGAAGGATTGATACTAGTGGATTAAAGTGGAGAAGAGGAGGACAGAGCTGAAGCAGCCAGAGAATTTGAATTACTTAGTTTCGTGCTTTCCCTCCATCTAACTTTCCCACTAGCTGAAACGTGATATATTTTAGGGCATTATTTTTATCGTAGGAGTATGCAATGAGGGTTGCAGAGTGGATTATATTTGGGGGTAGGGGGTGGGGTTTGGGGAGGTGCGGGGGGGATTGTGTACCAATGAGGGAGTTTTTCTTTTGCTTTTCAAGGAGAGGAGCAAACGGGGTGGGGGGGGTTTGTGCGGGGAGAAGGGTGCAACAATGAATGAGTGGAATTCCAAAATCTCTATAGATCTTCATTGAAATGAAAAATAAACAAATTAAATTAATAAAAAAAAAATAGATTCCAAAAGAAATGAGTTGGAGTTCTGTTGGCCTAGTGGCAAAAAGCTGCTCTGCAATCCCAAAGGCATGCTGTTCGAATCTACCAGATGCTCTGCTGGAGAAAGAGGGCTAATTTCCTCCTGTGCCAGTCAGATCCTATTCGACGGTCCACAACAAGAAAAAAAGAAATGAATTTTCATTGTGACTTTTAGGATTGATTTGTTATGTTCACTTGCTTTGATGCCAGGTGTATTGCTGTACAGATGAGCAATGTTGAGCTTTGGTGGGAGAAGTTCTTGGAGTCTCTGCCTAGGGCACTTCCAGTGATCTACAGAGATGAGCTATTGCTTTCCTGCTCCTTGAGGGGTTTCCCTTTTTCTAGCACACAGGTTTCTGAATGAAGATCCTCTAGGGCTCCTACAGTGGATCAGCTGGCAGCCAAACACCTGCTTTATCTGGACCTGCTGCTTTCTGTCATTTTTATCTACTTTTACCTCCTGAACAGTTTGTTTCTTTAAAGGGTTCTTTGGAGAACCTCCCAGGTACTTTCTTGAATAAAGAATTTTTGGGAGAGAAAAATGTTATCTAGCATAAAAACGAGTATCTTTTCTCTCATCCGGTCATGTGTTGATTCAGCAAAAGTGTTTGTCAGTATAGACTGCCGTGCTGGGTACTGGGCTAAGGACCTGAATGAAGGAAACTGGTGGTGATGGGGCAGTGCAGGCAGGTGTTTGCCACACAGGGCGTGATGAACTCCACAGTCCACTCAGGAAACACAGCAAACCCTATGGAGGTCGAGAAAATGGGGAATTTGGACTAAGTCTGAGGATGGGGGCAGTGTGAGGGCAGGATTTTTGCTAGCCTTGGTTAGGGACAGTCTGGGGCTTCGTTAGAGATGGAGGAGTGGCTGAGCTGGGATACTGGGGTGTAGGGGATGCAGGCTAGACATGGTCTAAGGGCCAGTGTGAGGGCCTTGTAAAGAAGGATCTCCTTGTGGCATCAGGAAACTAGTGAAGCCCTAGGATGGGAAACTGTGTGGCCAGATCATGGTCTGGCCTCGTCTGCTGCTTGGGTAATTGTTAGCCTCACCCAGGGGCACAGTGGAGGAGAGGCCTCTGAGCTGAGCTTTGTCAAGATTACAGGAGGGATAACCATGGGGGGCAGGTATACCTGAGTCTGACTGTGGGCTGTCTGTATCACAGTGGGGAGAACCCTGTGGGGCAGGTCATGGTAGACTCCTTGATGGCATTGAACTTGTTCTCTTTGCTCCCCTTTTCTTAAGTAAAGAGAGTAGCTAAAAGGAAGGATAGCAAGCTCGAATGACCAGCTGACCCATGACAGTCGCGTGCATGCCCGGGTAGCACTGTTCTCCCTGTGGATTTCAAGGGCTGGTTTTTGGGAAGTAGATTGCCAAGCCTTTCCTCTGAGGCCCCTCTTGGCGGATCTGAACCATCAACGTTCTAGTTAGCGACCGGGTGTATGCACCATTTGTGTCACCAAAGGGCTCTAGGAGCTGGGCGTAGGTGATTAGAGGTGATAATTGAAATCATCCTGGGGAGCAGCGATAGGGCCTGAGACATAGAGTGAAGGAGAGCATAGGGAGGCTGAGGCGCCTCAGAGAGACCCCAGGCAATGGGCATGGGTGAGAGGGTTTGGGTGAGAGGGTTTAGTGTGACTCCCAGAGCCCTGGCTTGGGCTCTGACTGGACAAGGCAGTGAATCTAGTTACCCACCCTCTTACCCCCTGCCAAATTCATGACAACTCAGCTACATGCAGAAGAGAGCAGAGCACCCTGCTATAAGGCTCCCAAGGGCAGCAAGCTGCTACACCTTTTACCTGCAAAGTATATTCAAACTGCCAACCTTTTGGTGAGCAGTGGAGCACTTCAGGACTCCTTAACTGAGTGTGGTAGAGAAATACTCTTTCTTAATAATCTACCCTGTCAAGTCTTCCAGTAAGTTGGAGTCTCACTTCTTTCTCCCAGGACCCTGTTCACTGTTTGGTTCACCTGGGGCTGTGCTCTGTAAGCACCTTCAGTGGTGTATAGTTAGACATTCTCAGTGGAAAGCTTGAGATGTGTCTGTCTGTCTGGAGTCCCTGGTGGTATGGTGGCTGGTGTGCTTGGTTGCTAACTGAAAGGTCTGCATGTTCTCCAAGGAGGTACTTCCTCCAGGGAGGAAAGCTCGGTGATCTGCTTCTGAAAAACCAGTAATTCTGACACATCCAGGGGGCTCAGGTGGCCTGGCGGTAAGGAGTTGTGCTGCAGTCCCAAAGGCACGTGGTTTGGATTCACCAGTTACTCCAAGAGAGAAGGATGGGCAGTCTCTTCCCATGTGATTAACTGCTTCTGAGAACTCTCTGAAGGGTCAGCTACAGGTAGGTTCTGACTCAGTAGTACCAAATAACTGTGGCACAACCTACTGTGCTATGCTCAGGGTGACTAGGAGTCTAAGTTGACTGCAGCAGGCACAGTGGCTTGTATGCCTTGTCATGTCTCTCAGTTGGCTGGGATCCTGAAACAGACTGGCTACTTTCACACACTAATTTGACTGTTGCCCCTGAAGAATCTAGCCCAGAGGAGAGGCATATGGCTGGCACTTTACTTCTGGACATTATAATGCCCCTTCTTTTCCTTTCAGGTTTGAGGCCAGTGGCAGTGACACAGAAGAGAATACTTTTGATGAACTACAACTGCTGAGTGAACCTCCATCACAATGGAAGTTGCCCCGGGGACTCAGTTTACAGAAGCATTTGTTTTTGGGGACAGGTTGGAGATGCAGCAAGAACTCTTTCCCCGGGAGGACTTGGGGAGTCCCTTTCTTCAGGACCGAGCTCTGGAGCACATGGCTGTCATCTATAAGGAGGTCCCTCTTGGGGAGCAGGGTGAGGAGTGTGGTGATTATGGGGGCAGCTTCAGTCTGTGTTCTAGTCCCATGCCACAGCAGAATGCACTTCCAACCACTGTGCCCCAGGATGGTGAATTACTCAACTTGGCTTTCCTGCAGCAGTCAGATCTCAGCGTGTGTCACTTGGCTCCTACTGGTGGAGAAGACTCTGGCGAGCCTGATGCCAAGAAAGCAGGCTGGAGGGATGCTGGGCTTGGTGACCCTTGCAGAGCAGCCAAGCCATATGAGTGCCAGGAGTGTGGAAAAGCCTTCAGCCAGAGCTCCCACCTGCTGAGGCACCAGGTGATCCACACTGGTGAGAAGCCATACGAGTGTGGGGAGTGTGGGAAGGCTTTCAGCCAGAGCTCACACCTGCTCCGGCACCAGGTGATCCACTCCGGGAAGAAGCCGTTTGTGTGCCAGGAGTGCGGGAAGGCTTTCAGGCAGAGCTCTGCCCTCACGCAGCATCAGAAAACCCACAGTGGCAAGCGGCCCTACGAGTGCAGGGCCTGTGGGAAGGACTTCAGCCGCAGCACCAGCTTGCGGAAGCACGAGCGGATCCACACGGGGGAGAAGCCCTACCAGTGCAAAGAATGTGGGAAGGCCTTCAACCAGAGCTCGGGCCTGAGCCAGCACCGCAAGATCCACACCCTGAGGAAGCCCCACACATGCGACCTCTGTGGGAAGGCCTTCTGTCACAGGTCCCACCTTGTCCGGCACCAGCGCATACACACAGGGAAGAAGCCCTACACATGTGAGGAGTGTGGGAAAGCCTTCAGCCAGAGCTCCAACCTCATTGAACACCACAAAACTCACACGGGTGAGAAGCCGTACCAATGTCACCAATGTGGGAAAGCCTTCAGCCAGAGCTCCAACCTCATTGAACACCACAAAACTCACACGGGTGAGAAGCCGTACCAATGTCACCAATGTGGGAAAGCCTTCAGCCAGAGCTTCTCACTCATTGAGCACCAGAGGATCCATACAGGTGAGAAGCCCTATGAATGTGGCCAATGTGGGAAAGCCTTCTGCCACAGTTCAGCCCTCATCCAGCACCAGAGGATCCACACTGGGAAGAAGCCCTATGCCTGTAATGAGTGTGGGAAAGCCTTCCGGCACCGGTCAGCCCTCATCGAGCACTACAAGACTCACACCAGGGAGAAGCCCTATGAATGCAATACTTGTGGCAAGGCCTTCCGGGGCAGCTCACACCTCATCCGGCACCAGAAAACCCACACAGCCGCTGAGAAGCTGTAGCATAGAGTACTGGTGGAGAGCTTGGTGGTGTTTCCCAATGATGCCCATATTGGGACTGCTGTATCCCATGGTGGTGCTGGTGGGGCCTCCATGACCAGCACCTGGGTGTCCACAGTGGTGGGAGTGCCGTGTGGCCTGGGACTAGCCCCAGCTCCACAGATTCCTGAGCTGAAGGAAGGCCGGGCCAGGGGGAAATAGTGGACATGGTGGCCTGCTGGAATAGAGTGTTTCCAGTTCTCATTCCTCCTCAGTCTGACATGCAATCTCATGAGATAGTTTCCCCTCTATTTGCTGTTTCTAGAATCCAGAAGAAGAGCAAACACCAAAAGGAGAGAGTTGAGTTAAACCTGTGAAAACATCAAGTGAACTCTTCATGCCTTGGCGTGGGCCCTGGAGAATGCGAGAAGTGTGCTCAGCCCAAGTCAGCTGCAGGATACTCTCCCATGTGGATTCACCAGTGGGCAGTGGAGTTCTGCACCTTGATCAACATTGCTCGGGACATCACAGCAGGCTGATGGAGGGAAGGGGAGGCTGGAGGGTCGCTGTTGTTAGACGTCCTGACAGATGGGGGGTACTATCTCTAATGTGGCCTGGGCACTAGACTGAGCCTTCGCAAGACCCACTGGCCTGGGAGTCCCATGAGCCCCTTCTGGTCTGTCCCCCAGTGTTGGGAGCAGGTACAGTTCGGTGGAGAAGGCCATGGCTCAGAGCCTAATGATCTGGATGCAGACCCCAGTCCTGTCTTTTCCTTCCTCCCTGTGTAACCTTGACTAGGTCCTGCCTGTCCTCCCATGGGGCTCACTGCTCCATCTTTTAGAGTAGGGTCCTGGGGCCTGGCTGGATGGCTCCAAAGGCTGGTGTGAAGCTCTTGTGCAGATTGAGGCAGTGTGTGTGGAAGGGCTTTGAAACTTGAGTGGTCCTGAGTGGTGGCTAAGGAGGAAGAACTGAAGTGGCCACTAAAGTGGCCCCACTTAACCCAGAAATGCTGTCGTCAGTGGCTGGGCCTCCTGGTCTCTAAATCAAATCAGACGCCGTCACCCCTTAGATCTGCTCTCAGGCCAGCTGAGGTCTGCCAGCTGTGTGTGCCTGGTGATACTGCCTGCAGGTGGACTGTGCCTCCTCCCAGCCTCCCCTTTCCCTCAGCAATGCCATTGTTGGTTGCACCTGGGGGTTGGACTGTGGTTTATTCTGGAAATTTCCAGATTACAGCACCTGGCACAGCCAGCCTGTCTCAGCTTCCCCCACCCCTGTGCCTGGGGCATCTTGCCTCAGGTCATCACTTATGTTGGTTTCACAGGTGAACAGTGGCCTTTGGTGCTGGTTCCATAGGTGGACAGCAGTCTTTGGTGCTGGTTCCAGAGGTGGACAGTGGTCTCTGGTGCTGGTTCCAGGGATGGACAGTGGTTTCTGGTGTTGGTTTCAGAGATGGACAGGTGGTCCTTTCCCTCTTCCTCCTTCCTTCTGTTTTGGCAGTTTGTGAAACATGAGGGTTAGATTCCATTTCTGAAGGGTCAGGAGCCTGGTGGTACAGTGATTAAAATGCTTGACTGCTAAGTGATAGTGGTGGTTCTGACCCAGTGGTCACTCTTCAGGAGTGTGCTTCTGCCGTGATGACGAGGAAAGCTTTGGAAACTCCGGAGCAGTCCTACTTTGTTTTCCAGGATCACTGAGTCAGCATGGGGTCCATAGCATTGGGTACAGGTTCTGAAGTGTTCCTGTCCTCTCGTGGGCTCGTGGTGGAATCTGGTGCTTTTCTAGTTGTGAGTGAGCGGAGTCCCAATCCTTCCTGGTACTCTCTTCAACCTCTGTCAGCATTTAGTGATACATTTCTTTAATTCATTCTTTATCAACCAGTATAAAATTGTAAAAGATTGTCTTTTGCTGCATTTTAATCTTCTTTGAATGTGTTTTTTTTTAAAATTATATTTTTTCCTTACTATAACATTGTTTTACTTAAATGTGTAGCTCCAACTCCTGCTTTGCTTGCTAAATTGTTTTGTGAAATGGTAATATAGTCTGCTATTTTTTTTGTGTGTAGTTGTTTAACACTTTACAATTCTAAGATTATTTATTTAGATGCAATAATATATTATTGTTTCTAGTAAACATAAAAGGAGCTCTGGTGTTGTAGCCCATAGAGAGTTGCTGCTCAGTCAAAAGCTACGCTTCTCTGGTGGTTTGAATCCACCAGCCACTCCATGGAAGAAAGATGGACAGTCTCTGCGTGTGTGATTTACAGCCTTGGAAACCTGCTGGAGGAGGGTCAGCTGTGATTTGGAACAGACTCAACATCAATGAAAGAGAGAGAGAGAGGAGAGAGAGAGAAAATACAGGCACACGGATCTAGAATTTTCTCTGATAGCTTTATCAGCACTCTTAAATTTGACATGTTCTTGTAATTAGAAATTTATTTTTGGCTCAAATATTATTGCTACTCTTTTTTAAAATTTATTTTATACTGATTTATTGACAAAGTGTGAATACATTGTTTTTCACAAAAGATCCTCCCCATTTCCTTCACTCCCCTTCATCAAACTGTGCAACCCTATGATTAACACCCCACCGCCCTGCCCATCCTCATCCCTCTGATTCCTCCCCTCCCTTGGATCCTCTTACTCATTCTACAGTAATGGTTTTATATAGTATTTGTTGTTACTCTTTCTTTACTCTTTCCATGTGATGAATGCTTATGCTAATGCTGTTTGTTTCTTATTGCACTGTAGTTTGCTCTATTTCTGGATGTTCATAGAACTCCTTTGGACCTGGAATATAGTGTCACTTACCACAAAGCTTCTATGTACTCTCAAGGAATGCTTATTTCTTTCTTTAGTCTTATTTGGTAAATCAATTAAAAAAAAATTACCTAAACTTATACTTTCCCTAAATTTCTGTTTCCTTCAATGTTCTTAACCCCAGGGCCCACTGGCTGCTTAAGAGTCCACAGCATTTGGAGGTTTAAGAGTTGGTGGGTGAGGGTGCGCATGAGTGAGCTGACCTGGAGTAGCTACTGCAGCCTTCATAAAGTTTTGAAGGGGCTGTGACCTCTGTGGTTAAAACTTCTTTACCTGTTTATGTATTTAGCATAGTAAAGCAATTAACTATATATGCCCCAAATGTCTTAGTTCTTGTTTCTTAAAAAATTAATACCTTCTTTCTTGCTATGTATCTGAGAACTGGACAAATAATAATGATGACATAAAGGTAATTGATGGATTTGAGCTGTGGTTTTGGAGAAGAGCACTGAATAAACTGCCAAAAGAACAAACAGATATATCTTGGAGAGGGTGCAGCCAGAGTGCTCGTTGGAGGCAGGAATGATGAGGCTTCGCCTCACATACTTTGGGCATGTTGCTAGGAGGGTCTATTCCTTGGAGAGGGACGTGATGCTGGGAACGGTGGAGAGTTGGTGAAGGAGAGGAAGACCCTCAACCAGGTGGATTGACATGGTGAGTGCTGCTGTGAGCTCTTGTGTGTCAGGAAGTGTGAGGATGGCACAGGATAGAACAGATACTTTGTTCGTAGAGTCACTATGAGTCATACTTAACTTGACGGCACTTAACAGCAACAAGTAGTATGTTTAAAAATCTTGCCATTTAGTGCCTCTTTTAGGGAGCTCTAGTAGCATAATTTCAGACTGCAGAAGTGAAATAGAATTCCTCCATTTTCTAATCTTTGGCTTTAGTTGTTGGTGTGTATATTGAAATAATAGTTGTATTAACAGAACTTTCTGGTACATTTATGGGTTTTATCCTATCTCTCACAGTACTGTACTTACCTCAGCATAGATCTTGAAATGGTGTTTTATCCATGAATGCAACACCATTCTTCCTTAATTTTTCATTCTTGGCATAATAGATCTAACAAAGTGGCCAATGTCTGTCCATCTCAGCTCACTAATGCCTAGAATGTTTGGTTTTTCTGTTTGACATAAGTAGACCATTTCATTTTTGACAACTTTCAATTTTCTTAGTACTTTGTACATTCCATGTTCCAGTTATTAATGGATATTTGCAGCTGCTTCTCCTTTTGTGAGTTATTCCAATCTGGGCTCTTCCTCTAGTACTATATCTGTATCTTTTTTGAGTGAATTCCAACCTGGGCTCTACCTTTAGCACTGTATCTACCTTTGTTGTGCTATTGTTTATAGGATTTTTGAAGGCTTGTTATTTCAGAAGTAGATGGCCAATCCTGCTTCCTCTCTGTCTTAATCGAGGAGCTCTGCTGAAACCTGTCCGCTCTGGGTGACTTCTGTGGGATTTGAAACACTGGTGGCTTAGCGTCTGATATCACAGCAACCCACAAGTTACCCCAGTACAGCAAACTGACAGACAAGTGCTGTACTAATAAGAGCAAGTGGTAAACAAGCAAGTAAATACACCCTTAAACTATACAAGAACTAGCAACAGTCAAGTCACTTCCCTAATATAATCATCTAATTACCAATCAGATGATTATATTAGGGGAGTTATTTGCTGAATTACAGATTTCTGTTGTAACTCTAACAGAAAACCACAGAAACAATCAAGCATATAAATATAACAGCCCAGGATGGCCCTTTGTGGTCCTGGCTGAGACCTGTAGCGGCATGGCAAGATGTGGCCCTGTATGGCTCCTGGGCCTCAAGCTGAGGTCACGGCGTGGTGTAAGATAAAGACGTGTGTCTGGGTATTGTCCTTTCTCCATACCCGTTCAGTCTGTATGCTGAACAGATAATTCAAGAAACTATGCTTTATGAAGAAGAAAGTGGTGTCATATCCATCTTTCTCCTGTGGAGCAATAATAGATTCAAAACATGTTCCCTTGGGCTGGCAGCACAACTCCCTACCACTAAGCCACCAAAGCTCTATGAGATCTCTAGTCTACACGTAACAGGAAATATTACAAATATTGGAAAGACTAGAGGAAGACTATCAACAACTTGCATTATATAGATGATACAACCTTGCATGCTGAAATTGAGGAGGATTTTAAATAGTTTCTGTAGAGGATCAAAGACTACT